TAAAATATACATGTCACAAACATAAAACATACATTTTCATAATCAATCCATTCAGGGGAACAACATATTAAAAAATGGCACGAATCAGACCAGGGGTTCAAAAGTTAAGGGAAAGTCCTTTGTGACTAAATGAAGCATGGTTTTTCTGCCCAAAACCAGTTCCACGGAGTCTTCTATAGTGGAGATAATTGAGAAGTAATTCAATTATCTCCAAGGACAGAGGCAAAACTCCATTAGCCAAATGGCAGACAAAGGACAATAAAAGACATAAAACTACAATAAAATACATAAAATACAGACATTCTACCTATCCCCAGATAGCTTAGATCTGAGCGCACATTATTACCGGATGGCGCCCAGATCACATACATACAGTTCAATCGCCATGGAGCCAAAGTCTTTCATACAGTCTTTCAGTATACTCCTGGGCTCCATGGCATAGCTATCTGGGGTAGCATGGCTTTAACAGTCCGCAGAAAGGCACAAACCAGCCTTTCTGCAGGGAAAAAGAACAGGGGCCATAGTCTAAAGGCAAGAGGCGGGCAAGCAGCCCCCTCCAAGGACACGTGGCGAGGTTGGTTTCGCCACAGGACCATGCCTGCGCCTGGGCAAAAATATGACTTCCATAAAATTTCTGAACCCCTTATCTGATCTGGATGATTTTTGGATATGTTGTTCACCCAGATCAGAGCTATCAGGGGATGTGACATGGGGATATGTTGTATTTTGGGGTACTTATGGTACTTAATATAAATGTATGTTTTTTCTGCCTGGGGATAATATAAGTTAATGCATTATCTACCTTACTTATATCACAGGCAGAGGGGAGGGATTGTGTACTGTATGTGGGAGTGTCATTCATTGTCAAATTGTCTTCATTGGCTTGTACACTTTGTGCCCCTGTGCCCAACAAGGTCCACCTGGGCGTCACCTTTGTTGGGAATCTTGCATAAAAAGCCAGTGTGCCTCCATTAAAATTGAGTTCCTGTTTAACCCTTAACATGTAGCCTCATCTCGTGATTGGAGGGGAACTGCTATATTCACACTGGGGATTGCTATACTCCTTTTACTCCCCTTGGTTCTAATCACTAGCTCTTCTAAGAGCAGTTCCTGCTAGGCTCTCTGGAGGAGAGGTCTTTTCCACACGGTCCTGGATGTCAGATGTGCAGGGTGGGAGGAAGATGGCGAGATTCCAGTTAAGCTACGGCGGTTGTGGAGTCTGCGGTGCTTGTGGTGTCCGGTGCGGTGCTTATGGTCCTCGGCATCAGCTAGAAAGCATCTGTTGGCAGAGGTACCCTGTCGGGGTGACAGGTGATCCATCACATGCAGGTTTGTATAATACAGGTTGGCAGGATAAAGCAGAGTTGTAAGCCATCCAGGTTGGTATGGAGCAAGGTTGGTAGTAAATCAGGTTGGAAGCAGTTCATGTTAGTATGGAGCAAAGTTGATCGAAAATCAGGTTGGAAGCAATTAAGGTAAGTCATAGGTTGCTTCACAGGAGCTTGGATTTGAAGTATTTTAGTATGAACATCAACTTCAATGTAAAAGCCACTTGATTTGTCGGGTGTGGCCTTTTATAGCAGAACTTGATTCATGTTATACAAGTGAGTGACTAGTGACTAGTGCGGCCACTAGTGGTGGAGAGGAGGAACTTTATTTAAAGGAACAGAAATAAATGAACAAAGAACATAGTTGTCAGGATAGGATCCTGACACAATCCCCCCTTCAAGAAGCGAAGTTCTGTGGAGGAACTGAAAAGTATGTCAGTTCAAAGAAACATACAGACCAATCATCAAAAACCATGGAAACCGGAAAGCATAATTTCTTTCTCTTGGTTTTCTTCTTCTCTTTGTTTCTCAGCAACTCCTCAAACATGGTTAAGTCTTTTAGACTTACAATAGTACCGTTTAAAGGTTTTGGTGCACTCAGGAGGTATGGCTTTAGTTATGTTATTTTCTTTTACTCTTAGTGTATGTTAAGACACCTCCAGTGTCTTTAGGCAAAACCGCCGTTTAGTAGACCTTCCCCGGCTGCAATATCAGTAACTCCGTTCGCCTGACCTGTAGTTCACGAACTGGGTTTTTTTGCCTTCTTTTGGATCAACAGCAAAAAACAAATGTGAGGAAGGCTGAACTTGATGGACGCAAGTCTCTTTTCAGCTATGTAACTATGTAACTATGTAAATGCAGGGGAAGCGGCAATCTCCCGACCGGGATCCGTGAACGGCTCCAAACTCCCGAACGGCAATACACGAACTGCTGCTAGCCGCCGAACAACAATATTCACCAAGCGGCTTTCGTTTCCATCCAGCAGTCTCTAAACGTGAAGAAGAAATCCCCCCAATAACGAGACAGAAGCTCCGCATTGAGGGTCAAACAAGATCTGGCCTTACTGTGGGCTACCTGCCCGTATTTATGCAGGTCTCCCACCTGGTGGACACTCCCCTAGGGGACCAAATGGGAGACTTAAATGACAGACAGATATGGGGACATTCCAGTCACACAGTCACAGATTTTACCCACAGTGCATTATGATTCCCTCCCCTCTGCCCTGGAGATAATTACCAAGTAACTCAATTATCTCCAGGACAAAGCCAGTCGCCATCTTAAATATAAAATCATAAAAGACATAAAAATGCATAACTTTAAAATAACCGAACATTTCCCATTCGCATCACATATCCCCAGATAGCCTGGATCTGAGTGCATATTATTAGCGAATAGCGCTCAGATCCCACACACATAGTTCAATCGCCATGGAGTCAAAGTTCTTACAGTCTTTCGGTATACGAATGACTCCATGGGAAGGCTATCTGGGTTAAGTCTTTTCGTATGCTCCAAACCTCCCGAACGGCCGGTATTCGTATGCTTTCGTGGAGACAGCCAGGCGTTCCGTTGTTTCAGCGGTGTTCGGCAGAAAAAGTGTCCGTTTTTAGTTCCATAGAAATAGAGCCAAACACCGCTGGGCTTTCGCGTGGTTTAAAATGGCCGCTGCCTCGTGGTCGACATACGAACGACGACCACCCTGAATTCGGTTTAATTGAGAAGTATCTGCGGTTAACCACAACGTTCTAATTGGGATCAATAGGTTAACCAGCAGCACACTTCTCTCCTGGGTGGCCGTCCGTTCGGCAGGTTTGTTCGGGAAAAACAAGTTATTCGAATGGCTGGGCTATAGAAAACAGCCATTCATACGAACGGGATACAAACAGACGAATGCAACTAAAATACAAGCAGGCAGATGGTTCTGTCACAGTGTAGTGATAGGTTTTTTGTTTTTCTTCATAAACCTAGAATTGAGAGTCTGAGGTACAGAAGATTTTTTTAAAGGTAGGCATCGGTGTACCTAAGGTTACAGGTTGTAAGGAAGAGCAGGTTGACACTTACTTGGAGTTGTCCTCAGGAGTGTTAGCTTCAACATACCTCATAGCATCCAGATAGCTTTCAAGGTTGTAGAGTTCCTTAATAGGCATAATAGTACCATCGCTGGCTTTTACAAGACCAGGGGCACCAAATGGAGGTTTTGCCGTATTCTTCCTAGGCACATTCCAAGTTGAGCAGCAGAGGGGAGTTTTTTAAGGGAATAAAGTGAGCCATCTTGGAAAACCTGTCTGTGACCATAAGAATGACTGTATGACCTTCAGAGGGAGGAGGATCTACAATAAAATCCATAGAAAGATGTTCCATGGCATCCTTGGGATGGACAGAGGCATAATAGGACCAGCTGGTTTATGAGACACAGATTTAGATTTTGTTCAGACATCGCATGCCTGTACACAGGGCCGCCACCAGAAGTTTTGGGGCCCCTAACAAAGCTCAGGGTCTGGGAGTCTGCCTCCAAGTCTGCCCACAGGGTCCTCCTCCAATCCCGCCCACAGGAATACACACACAGACACAAACACACACTGATACAAAAGGACACAGATACACACACACACAGATACATACTAACAGACACACATACTGAAACAGACATACATGCATATAGGCATACATACTGAGACATACACACATATACAGACACACAGGCATACATAGTGACAGAAAGACACATACTAACATACATACAGACACACATGCATAAGGACATAGAGACACATACATACATACTGACATACATACAGACACCGACATACATACACGCATACATACATACATTCATACAGACACTGACATCCATACACACACAGACATACATTCATAATGACATACATTGATACTGACAGACATACATTCATACATACTGACATGCATGCATATACTGACATCCATACACACATACATACATTCATAATGACATGCAGACATACATACAGACATACTGACATACATGCAACTGCACCGGCGGCAATTCCGCCGCTACTAGTGGGGCCCAGGTTGCTGGGCCCCCAGGCCCGTGACAACCATCATGGTTCTCACCCCCTGATGGTTGCCCTGCCTGTACATAATCATTGACCTCTTTCAGAGAAGAAGGCCAACAAAACTATTGTGTGATACTTTTATATGTTTTCTGTATACCAGGATGGCAGACTTTCTTGGAATCATGAAATAAAGACAACACTTTCTGTCCCTTTCCTTGACATATAATAAATCAGCAGGTTTATCAAGAGGTTCCTGATTCTGGTATTTATTAATTTGGTCCAGTAAAAGTGAAGAAAAACTAAGGTGAGTGGCTGCAATAATGATGGTAGGAGGTACAATGGTCTCAGGTTCAGTGGGTCTTTTTTCTATTTGTTCGAACTGTCGGGCGATAGCATCTACTTTAGCATTGTGATACCCAGGCCTGTATGTATTCGAGTATTGAAAGCGTGATAAAAACAGGGACCATCTTCCTTGTCTGAAAGACAAACGTTTAGCTTCAACTATACACCCTGTTCCAAATTATTATGAAAATTATATTTTTCTCATTTACCTAAACATTGGTGATGTAAATAACAGTCAGCATAATTCTCATGTTATCAACTCTTAAGAGTACAATTCAAATTTTATTGAACACACCTCCTAATGATAACAGTATTTTTTTTAAACATAAAAAACTTACAATGCACTGTTCCAAATTATTACGCACAGTAAGTTTCAAAACACTTTATAGGTTGTAAAGAACTGAAAATTTTCATTTGTTGTGTTTGCAGCATATTTACTGAAATAAAAAGCTATTTCAATCAAACTTATAAAAACATTTTAACTTTTTAAACATTTTAACAGGTCACGTTACATACATAGGACCCCTTATTTGATAGCAGCTTCACAAGTCTTGCATCCATTGAACTTGTGAGTTTTTGGACAGTTTCTGTTTGAATTTGTTTGCAAGATGTCAGAATAGCCTCCCAGAGCTGCTGTTTGGATGTAAGCTGTCTCCCACCCTCATAGATCTTTTGCTCGAGGATGCTCCAAAGGTTCTCAATAGGATTGTGGTAAGGGAAGGATGGAGGCCACACCATGACTTTCTCTCCTTTTATCCCCATAGCAGCCATTGATGCAGAGGTATTCTTTGCAGCATAAGATGGTGCACTGTCATGCATGAAGATGATTTTATTACGGAAAGCATAGTTCTTCCTTATGTACCAGGGAAGAAAGTGGTCAGCAAGAAAATCCACATACTTTGCAGAGGTAATCTTTACACCTTCGGGGACCCTAAGGGTCCTATGATTCCAGCTCAAAACCTGACTCCACCTCCACTACTCCATCCATCTGGACCATCCAGAGTTGCACGGCACTCATCAGTGAAAAGGACTGTTTGAAAATTAGTCTTCATGTATTTTTCTGCCCAATGCAGCTGTTTTTGCTTGTGAGCATTGGTTAGTGGTGGCCGAATAGCAGGTTTATGCACAGTTGCAAGACTCTGGAGGACTCTACACCTTGATGTCCGTGGGACTCCAGAGGCACCAGCAGCTTCAAATATCTGTTTGCTGCTATGTAATGGTATTTTAGCAGCTGCTCTCTTGATCCGATGCATGGATCTGGCAGAAATCTTTCTCAATGTGCCTTTATGTGCACGAACCCGTCTGTGCTCTAAATCAGCCTCAAATCTCTTAATAGTGCGATGATCACGCTTAAGTTTTCGTGAAATATCTAATGTTTTCATACCTCGTCCAAGGCATTGAACTATTTCACTCTTTTCGGCAGCAGAGAGATCATTTTTCTTCACCCTTTTTGCATGAAAATGGTGCTCTGCTTAATAATGTGGAACACCCTCCTTTAGTAGTTTTTCCTTAAATTGGGCTCACCTGGCAATCTAATCATCACAGGTGTCCGAGATTGTTTTCAGTGATCAAAAGAGCCCTGAGACACAATGCCATCCATGGGTTAAACTGAAAAACAAAATATTTAATCTTTGTGACACTTAAATAGAATTTGCAGGGTGTATAAGAGGTTTTTGTAATCCGTTATCACCATATTTGGAACCTTCTAGTAAGTGTCTCCATTCCTTAAATGCTAACACTGTAGCTGGAAGTTCCCTGTTACCTATATCATAATTCTTTTCAGAGTCTGATAATTTCTTTGAATAAAAATAACATGGGTGGGTCTTTAGAAGTCTTTCTCTACACCGGATTCAGAAGCATCTACCTCTAGTATAAACGGTAACGACGTGTCAGGATGTATTAACACTGGAGGGAAAATGCTTCTTTCAAGATTTGGAAGGCATTCAGAGCTTCTGGTTTCCACTCATGTGGATTAGTAAATTTTTTAGTCATGTGAGTAATGGGGCTTATTATAGAAGATAATTTTTTGTAAATTTCCTATAATAATTGGAAAATCCAATGAATCGTTGAATGGCCTTGAGTCCATGGGGAAGCGTCCAGGACGTAATGGCTTCTAGCTTTGTAGGATACATACTAAAACCTTTATCAGTTAGGACATAACCTAGAAATTGTACTGTAGTTTGATCGAAAAGGCTTTTTCCTAACTTATAGGACAATCCATTTTAGAGCAATCTGGTTAATACCATACTAACATGCTGATGATGTGTTTAAAGATAGGGGGAATGGATGATGATGTCATCCAAATACACAACAGCACACAAAGATAGAATATCATGCAGAACATCATTTATTAGATCTTGGAAGACACAATTAACGGCCTGTCTCGGATGTAAGCAACGAATCCCAACAATATTCTTCAGCTGAGAGGGAAATTCAAGCATGGCACCATCAAGAAAACTTTAAACTGAAACGAGAGGAGCGGAATCGAAAAAGTGATTAGCCAATTAAATGTACGTATAAAAAAAAATGCAGCCACCCAGTGCAAAATCAGTCAATACCATATTATATAAATATCCCCACCTAAACTGTAAGACAAAACAGTGTGGTGACAAGTGACATTGTTAACAGGAGTAGTCCCAGAAGATTGGAAGTTAGCGAATGTTGTGCCCATTTACAAGAAAGGTAATAGGGAGGAGTCGGGCAACTATAGGCCAGTAAGCCTTACTTCAGTAGTGGGGAAAGTGATGGAAACCATGTTAAAGGATAGGATTGATGAACATCTAAAACACATGGATTTCAAGATCAGAGACAACATGGGTTTACTTCAGGGAGATCATGCCAAACTAATCTTATTGATTTTTTTGATTGGGTAACTAAAATTATAGATCAGGGTGGTGCAGTAGACATTGCTTACCTAGATTTCAGTAAGGCTTTTGACACTGTTGCACATAGAAGGCTTATCAATAAACTGCAATCTTTAAGTTTGGATTCAATATTGTTGAATGGGTAAGGCAGTGGCTGAGTGACAGGCAACAGAGGGTTGTAGTTAATGGAATATATTCGAAGCTTGGACTTGTCACCAATGGGGTACCTCAGGGATCTGTACTTGGACCCATTCTCTTTAATATTTTTATTAGTGATATTGCAGAAGGTCTTGATGGTAAGATATGTCTTTTTGCTAATGATACTAAGATATGTAACAGGGTTGCTGTTCCAGGGTTGATGTTCAAATGGCAAATGATTTAGATAAACTAGAAAAATGGTCAGAATTGTGGCAACTGACATTTAATGTGGATAAGTGCAAGATAATGCATCTTGGACGTAAAAACCCAAGGGCAGAGTACAGAATATTTGATAGAGTCCTAACCTCAACATATGAGGAAAGGGATTTAGGGGTGATTATTTCTGATGACTTAAAGGTAGGCAGACAATGTAATAGAGCAGCAGGCAATGCTAGCAGAATGCTTGGTTGTATAGGGAGAGGTATTAGCAGTAGAAAGAGGGAAGTGCTCATGCCATTGTACAGAACACTGGTGAGACCTCACTTGGAGTATTGTACACAGTACTGGAGACCGTATCTTCAGAAGGATATTGATACCTTAGAGAGGGTTCAGAGAAGGGCTACTAAACTGGTTCATGGATTGCGGGATAAAACTTACCAGGAAAGGTTAAAGGATCTTAACATGTATAGCTTGGAGGAAAGACGAGACAGGGGGGATATGATAGAAACATTTCAATACATAAAGGGAATCAACACAGTAAAGGAGGAGACTATATTTAAAAGAAGAAAAACTACCACAACAAGAGGACATAGTCTTAAATTAGAGGGACAAAGGTTTAAAAATAATATCAGGAAGTATTACTTTACTGAGAGGGTAGTGGATGCATGGAATAGCCTTCCAGCTGAAGTGGTAGAGGTTAACACAGTAAAGGAGTTTAAGCATGCGTGGGATAGGCATAAGGCTATCCTAACTATAAGATAAGGCTAAGGACTAATGAAAGTATTTAGAAAATTGGGCAGACTAGATGGGCCGAATGGTTCTTATCTGCCGTCACATTCTATGTTTCTATGTTTATGTTTCTATGTTTCTATGTTTAACCCCTTAAGACCGGAGGGCGTACTATTATGCCCTATTTTAGGCGGCTCTAAACGCCGCCGGGCGTAAAAGTACGCCCTCCGGTCTTTCCTTACTTACCCGGTCACCGGCGATCCCACGCCGGCGATCGCGGTGGGGGGGATTCCCAGGGAGCCACCCGCGGCAGATCCTCCTCCTCCGGTGCCTCCTGGCCATGTGAGAGTGAGGTCCTTGCGAGGACCTCACAATCACATGGCCGGGATAGCTGCCTCCTGCATTGGCAGCAGGGGGGGCTGCCTGTAATGACAGGTGGTCCCCCTGCAGGCTGAAAATAAAATAAATGTTAAAAGTGTAAAAAAAATAATAATATATACTTAGATCATATATATGTATATATATATATATATATATATATATATATGATCTAAGTATATATATACACATATACATACACACACGTACACTGTATAGGTGTATTTTACTATTAATATATATATAATTATATATATATCTATATATATTAATATCAAATTACACGTAGACAGATACTGATTAAATATATAATTATTGTTATATATATATTTATATATAATATAAAAAATGTTTATATGTAAATACGTTAAAAAATTTTTTTTTTAAAAATTAAAAAAAATAATTAAATATATAGATGTGTGTTATTTTGTTCTAACTGTATTGTGATCTTAATATATATTTATATCAAAATACACGTAGAACGAAATAATATATATCTATATACATAAATATATACGTATATATCACTATACATATACCTATATATAAATAAAAATATTTAAAAAAAATTATATACATATATTAATTCTACATATATATTTATATAATATTTTTTACATAATTAGGTATCTTAATTAATTACAATTAGCGGGACCTGCCTGACAACCCATGCCGAAAGTAAAGGGAATTTAATTTGCTAGCACTATATTTGTGACAGACCCATCTGTCTGGATTATAACTGCGTTGTTCGTCTGTTTTGCCGTTTTCATGAATTTCCCCGTTCGTATGCTTTGTTTAAGAGAATGTCGGTTTTGTCGAACGGAACTACCGAACGGACGGCCACCCAGAAGAGAAGTGTGCTGCTGGTTAACCTATTGATCCCAATTAGAACGTTGCGGTTAACCACAGACACTTCTCAATTAAAAACCGAATGCCGGGTGGTCGTCGTTCGTATGTCGACCACGAGGCGGCGGCCATTTTGTCCATGCGAACGACCAGCGGTGTTCAACGATTATTTCATGGATCGGAAAACGGACACTTTTTCAGCCGAACACCGCTGAAGCCGTCGACCTCCCCTTCTCAATCGACAAAAGCATGCGAACGACAGCCGTTCGGGAGATTCAACCACACGAATGGACTTAACCCAGATAGCCGTCCCATGGAGTCAATCGCATACCGAAGAACTGAAAGAGACTTTGACTCCATGGCAATTGAACTGTGCGAATGGGATCTGAGCGCTATTCTCCAATAATGTGCCCTCAGATCCAGGCTATCTGGGGATATGCAAGACTGATGTAAAATGTTCAGCAGTTATTAAGTTATGGATTTTTGTGTGTTTTTGTAACTTGTATCTAAAATGGCGATTGCCTCTGCTCGGGGAGATAATTGAATTACTTCCCAATTATTCCCCGAGCAGAGGGGAGGGAACTGTACTGCATGCTGGGAATATTGTGGGGATGTATGTCCAGAATGTCCCCATGTCCCTCTGTGATTTCAGTCTCCCATTTGGTCCCCTAGGGGAGTGTCCACCAAGTGGGAGACCTGCATAAATACCGGGCAGGTAGCCCACAGTAAACCAGTTCGTGTTTTACCCTCAAAGCGGAGCTTGGTCTCGTTATTGGGGGGATTTGGATACCAGCGGCGAGAGACTGCTTACTTGGATTATTTGCCGCTTGGGAGATATTGTCGTTCGGTTATTAATTGCCGTTCGTGGATTTGCGGCTTGCGAAGGGAATTAGCCGTACAGGTACCGTTCGGGAGTTTGGAGTGTTCCCTGGCTGGCGGTTCGCCTGGTTTTATTATACCCGCTACCCGACCACATTATTGCGAACGGGGAATACTCGCTAAACGGCGGTTTGTACATTTCGTTCCTGGAGGTACCGTAACAATATTTAACCCTATAACTTTCCAAGACACCATAAAACCTGTACATGGGGGGTACTGTTCTACTCGGGAGACTTTGCTGAACACAAATATTAGTGTTTCAAAACAGTAAAATGTATTACAACGATGATATCGCCACTAAAAGTGATATTTTTGCATTTTTCACATACAAACAGCACTTGCACGGACGATATTATTGCTGTGATACTTTTTACTGTTTTGAAACACAAATATTTGTGCTCAGCAAAGTCTCCCGAGTACAACAGTACCCCTCATGTACAGGTTTTATGGTGTTTTCAAAAGTTACAGCGTCAAATATAAGGCTTGTGTTTCATTTTTTTCACATTAAAATTCGCCAGATTGGTTACGGTGCCTTTGAGACCCTATGGTAGCCCAAGAATAAAAATTACCCCTATGATGGAATACCATTTGCAATAATAGACAACCCAAGGTATTGCAAATGGGGTATGTCCAGTCTTTTTTAGTAGCCACTTAGTCACAAACACTGGCCAAAATTGGCGTTTTTTGCATTTTTCAAACACAAACAAATACTAACACTAACTTTGGCCAGTGTTTGTGACCAAATAGCTACTAAAAAAGACTGGACATACCCCATTTGCAATACCTTGGGTTGTCTACTATTGCAAATGGTATGCCATTATGGGTGTAAATTTCTTTCCTGGGCTACTATAAAGTCCCAAAGGCAACGTAACCAATCTGGCGAATTTCAATTTCAAATGTAACGTGCTATATTTGACCCTGTAACTTCCCAAAACGCCATAAAACCTGTACATAGGGGGTACTGTTTTACACGTAAGACTTTGCAGAATACAAATATGTGTATTTTATTGCAGTAAAAGCAAACCGTATTATGACATTGACAGTTAAAATGTCATGTAGAACTAAAAATATATAAAAAAATATTTTCTCCCATTTTTTTCATATTAAATTATGTTTCATAGCTAAATATTTGATATTAAATGAAAGCCCTGTTTCTCCTGAATAAAATTATATATAATAAGGGTGGGTGCATTTAATATGAAAGAGGTGAATTACGGTTGGACAGACATGTAGCGCAAATGCCAGGTTTTGTTTACATTTTGTTTCGTTCACAACGTGTACATTTGCCTCCATCCTTAACCCCTTAAGGACGGAGCCAAATGTACACGTTGCCAAATGTACACCGGGTAAGTTAACAAAAACCGGAGGGCGTACAATTACGCCCGGCGGCGTTTAGAGCCGCCTAAAATAGGGCGTAATTGTACATCCTCCGGTCTAAAGGGGTTAAGGGGTTAATAAGAAGCATCTGAAGAACTGTATACCTACCTAATATCTCTTGATAACAAATCCAAACAAGGGTCAGAGAGAGAAAAAGGGTAGGAAATATTCGGCTCCTGTCATGAATAAAATTAAGATTATAGGTACAGCTAGCATAATTTACAATTTTATAACATGACAGGAAGCTTCATATTTGCTGTTTCAACGCTCAGCCAATAACGCAAATGATGCATGTTCTGCTGGTCTTAAATAAAACTGTCAAAAGGTGTCCTCTCGAGGTCGGTCTGCTGAACGAAGAATGTCCGCAAGGGAAGTGCCAGCCACCAGGGCGCCCGACGCCGCTGCGCCTCTAACCGAGTGAGCACCGAAAGAAGAGTACACACCGGCTAGTGACAGTAACCATCTCATCCAACGTGCTATGGTAGTGGAAGAGACCGGTTTGTGTGGACGCACATAAGATATCAACAGTTGTCCGGATCGTGAATCATGAACTGGGGTTGTAACCGCAAAGTTTAGGAGCCTCCTGTAAATATGGGTAGAAGATAGCAGTCGAGTCTGACTTGATACGTCTAGACACCGAAAAGTCCTCTTCCGGGGAAAAATTGAACACGTCAATGTCAAACGCCCGGACATCGGAGAACCGACGGAACGAAATGAGACACAAAAGAAGTGAAAACTTGTCCGACAACTGACGTAGCAAGAGGTCTCGATTATTTGGCCAGTCCTGAATGAAGTCCAAAACCCTGTGTACATCCCAGAGGGATGCATATTTAGGTGCCGGCAAGCGCGACAATCTGATGCCTCTGAGGAGTCTACATACCAATGGATCCTGGCCAATAGTAGCTCCTTGAAGGGGTACATAAGCCGGTGAAATGGCAGACCTGGCAACATTAACAGAATGGTATGACCGTCCTTGGTCGAAGAGGTGACAGAGGAAATTCAGAACGCTGGGCACAGGTGCTGTAAAGGGATCAACAAAATGTTCCACGTGGAAAGGTAACATCTCCTAGTGCCCGGAGCCCAGGAGTCCCAGAGGAGGTTTCTAGCCAACCCCGATAGTTCTTTCACATTCCAGGTTCCCCGGAAAAAGTTCAGGCCACCAAGTGGAGGTGGCATTCCTGCACGAGGGGGTGAGTATTGCCTCGTGAGTCCGAGAGGAGCATCTGCGGTGATGGAAGAAGAAGCGGGTCCTGACATAACAGCTCCAGTAATTCTGAAAACCAGGCCTGGCCTTGCCAAAGAGGTGTCAGCAACACTAGGGATACCTGTTGACGTCGTAGCTGGAGCAGGACCCTGGAAATCATAGTGAATGGAGGAAACGTGTAGGCTCCTTGCGATGGCCAGCCCTGAAGAAAGCATCCACTGCCGTGCATGTCTGGTCCGGGAGCCGACTGAATAATGTCGAAACCTGGAAGTTCGTTCTGGAGGCGAATAGATCCACTGTGAACGGGCCCCTCCGGCGTGCCACTTTGGCGTGCCACTTCGAGGAAGATTGAGCAATGCAGCCTCCAGTTGCTGGCATTCCTCTAATGTCTGGAAAATCAGTCTACCGTCAGGTTCGTCACACCCAGTAGATACTCTGCCTGTAGAGTGATGTTGCATTGGAAACAGGAGCTGTAGATCTCCTTTGTCACCTACGATATTGCTCGTGATATATTGTACCATCGACACATTGTCCATCCTCAGGAGAATGCAGTAATCTAACAGGTGGCCCGCAAGGCTCCGGTTTTCCTTCCGAATGGTTGTGATCTTGGACTGGGGAAGACATAGGATACACTGAGTTGCGTCTATTTCGAATCCTAAGAATTGTACCACATGCGCTGGTGTGAGAGTTTACTTTTCCACAAAACCCAAGTGTTCGAACAAAGAGATCGCAGAGAGTGTTTGAGATCTCAGTCTGGAAGAGTCCTCGCAGAATAATAGCAAACCATCCAGGTATATGAGGCATCGAATGCCTCTGGAGCATAGCCGCGCCATCACCGGTTTCAGCAGTTTGGTGAAACACCACGGTGCCGAGCTGACGCCGAAGGGTAGACCGGAGAATTGGCAAGGTCTTCCCTTCCATACGAAACGGAGAAAACATCGGTACGTGGGCTGATGGAGTGCGACGCCCAGTTTCTTATGGCTGACGGGTCCAGGGACGAGCCTTGCGAGAATGCTTCATCAGCAAGCATTAGGATCTGGACCAGTGGCTCCAACATATCAAGTACTTTATCCTGTGCCATGCAGAGACTGCCACAATCCCTTTTTTGGGATAGCGTCCAGAGTGGGTCAGGTAGGTAGAGACCATGAAGTTGAACTCAGGGGTCACAGTGACTTTGTCCGCAATGTGGGTCTGGGGAATTCTGCCCTCAACCTCTTCAGTACTTCCCAATCTAGAGGTCTGTGGACCCAATAGTGCACAAATTGCGCTAGGTGGTCGGGTAAGGACCTTTCAGGAGACCTGGGGTTTCGAATGGTATGTGAGTCAAAGAGGGGTTCGCCCGTTGAGTCTAGGAAAATGTTCTCCTCTAGAAAAGTGGGTAGAGGTTGTGTAGTGAAGTCACCGGTTTCTCGCACATATGGAGAATCGTCCGGTTCGTCCTCGCCCCACCCAACCTCGTCCTCTGAGGGAGATTGGTCCGCAGCCATTCATCCAGGATGGACAAGGGTGGAGGGGGGGCAGGAAAACTTCCTCATCTTCAGAGAGATGTCTCTGCCAGGTCGGTGAAGTCGTAGTGGTTCTCCAAGGGCGTTTCGCTGGAGCCTTGCACTTCTGGGCGCGAGGCTCAGGGCCTTCACCTTTCCAATAACGCTTAGGCATTCTCGCCTGGTCCCTTCTGGATGAGTCTGAATCTGATTCTACTGCCGTGTGGGGGGTCCCCATTGTGCCTCTATCCTGAGGCACAAGTGGCAGGGCTCTGCTTTATCCACAGAGGTGGCCACTGCTGCATTAATCATAGCCTGTAGGCTTTCCTGGGTCTGGGCGTCAATAGTGGGTGAACTCCCAATAGTAGCATGACACCTAGGGGTAGAAAAGGACAGGCATCACCACTGCATAGCTAGGGTAATCCCAGATGGAACGGTAGTATGTCAACAGTTGTGTACACAGGCGCATACATATGTATATATATATTTATAAGGAGACTGGGGTCCACCCAGTAGTATTCCCCTAGGCCTGCAGCCAATGGAGGGTGACTTGGGCATAGGCAAAGCCGGCCAATCAATAGAGCACAGCCAAAGCAGGCCAATCAACTGGGCACAATAAGAGCAGGCCAATCACGGGCGCTGTACTAAGACAGCAGATGGGGACCAATGAGTGGGCAGTACCCCAATACTGCACATAGGGGTTTTCCCCACAATAGAAACTTTCCCGGTAGTGTGGTGATGAGGGAGCACTATTACACAAAATTACCTTCTAGTCTTCTATGGTAGAAGCCGAGTATAAGCAGGCTGGATTGTGGGGGTAATAAAATTCCTGGTGTCCAGCAGACTCAACTCAGGATAATAGGGCCTACCCAAACTGTATCCAGGCCCAGGCCAAAGGATTAGGCTCCTGCCCCACAAAGGGGCCCCTAGGCCAGGAGGGGAAGCACCTGGTAATCACACCTCCCACTGAGGGGTACCACAGCCAGGGTAGGGGCTGCGGATAACTGCGCCCTCCTCCACCGGGCCGGACGCACATGGGCCGCGGTAAGAGCCGGCTGTAGGAAATTAGCTTTTCTTGATATGTTTGTTTTTCACACACCAGTGTTCTAATAATCGAATCAAAGTGTCTTGCAGCTAAAAATGTATATTTATTCAAACATACACATCATCCGAAAAACAACCTACGTCAAATGCAAACATCTTTGATCAATACATAGCAATGTTCAAGATGGTAACCATTTTTGATGTTAAAGGTATTGGTAACAAAATTTTAGCTACAATCATTTTAGTAGGTTTAAAATTCAGTTGTTTAGGGGCATATACATAAGGTTGCCTTACTTTAAAATAAGTGGCTATCATAGAAAAAGGTTAGTGATTTAGCATCATTTGAAATCTATGATTAAAGCCATACGTTATATTTAGGCGGTAAAATAGAAGTTATACAAACGAAGTTCTGTATACATGGTTAACTGAATAAATGCCTTTAGAAATCTGAGCCTTCACAGGGAGTCTGGCTTGCACGGCTAGGTTAAAGGTTACTATCAACAGGCCTTCATCCATCATTCTTAACATGAACCATATGTGGTGACCATGAATAGGGTCTCAGTTACTGTCTGAAAGAAGTCGGATATTATATTAATTGCACAGATAAAAAATGATAATCATATTATAAAGTAAAAATCCTACATTAAATATTTAAAGTTCATTAAATATATTTCATCGGCCATGGCACAGAGGAGTCGTGGTATGTAGTAGAAAGGAAAAAAGGCCCCCAAAGACCATCCACAGTCATCCGATAGTGAGATAACAACATAAAACATATCTAGGGATATATAATACCGAATAACAGTAAAAATACAAAGGAATAATATTAAAATAATATAACCTACAAGCAAATGTAATATAAAATCCTACAGACACCCACTAAGAGCAGGAGGCAGTGGTACTCTGACCTGTGCTGATGTGGAGCAGCAAAGAAAGAGGAAGTTATGTGTGGAGAGGGGAGTTTTATTGTTCCTTTCTTTTTTCTGATTGGTTGTTTACTCTCTCTGTTAATATGCTGCTGTGGATTTCTAGTAAAGAGAGACGTAAGCAAATATGAAGCCTCCTGTCATGTTATAAAATTCTATCACAAGGATAATGTCATTACACCCAAGGCCATATGTAATTTGTGAAACTGCACTCACACCCTTCTTCTCAGGAAACCTTGGGTGCTACACCGGATCAGTCCCAGTACCACAGGACCAAAAGAATAGGTTTGAGAGATAAGAAGTAATCCAGGCACTCCAAAGTTTCCAAAAAAAGGCAATTTTTATTGGACCCCCGAACCAAAAAACAAAGTTTCGACCCTAAGGCCTTTATCAAGCTACTGAACACATACACAGCAAACAATATATATAGGTGTATAATTAATTAACAAATGCTAAAACATGTGACATAACGAGATTAGTACATAAGATCAATTAACCAGATTAATTAACCATATAAAACAGTCAATGACCTTTATTCATTCCCCATCCTACCTTATCCAATTGCTATCCAATACACCAGGGCTCTCAATTCCCATAGGGCAATATACTCAGTTAGCAGTTCCATAGTTTGTAAGAAATTTCGATTGTCAAAAAATATTATTTCATTTGATTCAATACATATATTGATTCAAAAGATGCCGGAATGGATTAGATGCTTGTATTTCCAGGTCGGCCACATGATCACAATCATGTGGTTAAATCTAACGTACTGGGGCACATTTCCTGACAGATCACATGATAATGTCCACACGGAACATATCTAATGCGCACGCGCAACAAGGCACATGTGCTGTCTTGTCTTTTTCACACAATCACTCGAACACATCCAAACAATCATCTAAGTCCGGATCCCAATTAAAAGCGAATGCGTAACAAGGTGCACACGCACACCGCCCATCTTCGTCCGGTCGATTAGCTTCACATATCAATCATTAATTGTGTTACCAGGTATCTCTTACAAAAATACGGGACACTTAAAGTGACAATACTATAAGTTAAATTATTATAATAAATAATCTCATGTGCAATAATTTCGCAATATATTTCGAAATAATAGAAACAACTGGATATTATCATTAGTAAATATCCGGTCCTATAAAGGGAATGACAGCCCAGATAGTG